TGTCTTTCACAGCTCTAGCTTAACCGCGTCGTTTCACACACGGCGTGTCACCGTTCCGCGAATGCAAAGTCAAAAAGTCTCTCTCTCTCTCTCTCTCTCTCTCTCTCTCTCTCTCTGTCCCCTGTACCTCGGTGCGTGTGTGTGTGTGTGCACATGTATGTATGCATGCATGCATGCATGCATGTATGTATGTATGTATGTATGTATGTACGTACGTGTGTATGCGAACAGGTTTATGTTGCAACTGAGAAAACACACACATATCTCTTTCTGTATATATATATATGCTACACACACACACACATATATATATTTATATATATACACATACATGTATACATACATGCGTACATACATTCATACCTACGTACGTACATGCATGCATGCATGCATGCATGCATGCATGCATGCATTACAGTACATTACAGTACAATACAGTACAGTGCATTGTATTGCATTACATTACATTACCTTGCGTTGCCTTGCCCTGCCTTGCCTTACATTACATTACTTACGTTACGTTACGTTACGTTACGTTACGTCATACATATCATGTGTCGGTATATATATATACACATACACATATGCATAGATTTATACAGAGCACCGCGTGCAAATACCATGCATCATGTCAGGGTTCATGTCCGATGATTTGGTCAAGCGACACAACCCGCTTTCGCTGGTCATTCAATCGCGATGCAAAATTGTACACGCACCTCGTCTGTAATTTGCAAAGGTCCCTTCGGGTCATCTTCTCGAAGTCTTCGAAGTTCAAGATGCATGGGGTCAGAAGCTGAGCGTTACTAAATGCTCGACGAGAAGTCTATTTCCGTGTCCATGCCGTTTTGAGCTGTTGCTGCGGTTCTGAGAGGTTTTGGCGCGCCTTTGCTTTATGGTCAGTCTGGACCCTTGCCGCTGCCTGGAAAACGGGGGGCAGGAGGTGCATTCCGGCTGGATTGGGCACCTTGGCACAGCTATCCGAGCCATCCTGGATCTCAAAGTTGGATCCCCGATTTTGAGAGGTGAAGGCGGTGTTCCTTCGACATGACAATGCTGGCCACCCGCGTCGAGTGGACGTCGATGGTTGCACGGAGCCCAAGTTTCGAAAAACGGCAATGCTTCGGATGGCTTTCTTCAGCAGAGATTCGATGCTCGCTGCTGATGCAGGTGGCCTTGCCAGGATGTTTGTCCCGGAGGAGCCCAAGACCTTGTTTAAAAGGCCAGGGGATATGGTGTTTTGGGCAATCGGAAAAGGCCATGTAGCCATGGCCTTGGACAGCCATGGCGACCTCCGACCAGGTTCGAAGCCTCCGTCCGACGTCGGACACTTCAGCGTGCAGCGCTTCTGTGGGAGATGCGTGCTGCAGCCGCTCGGTGGCCAGACTTCAGCAACAGTGGTGTCATGGCGCGCACCACCCAGGGCCGGCCTACGCCACCTGCCGACGATATTGAGAAGGCCAAGAGTCGTCAAGAAGGCCCGGAAGCCGTGAGCGCAACTTGTGTCTGAGGTTGAGAGGTTGCTCGCCCAGCTCGAGCACGTCGGCGACGGCCAGGCGGGCGAATTCGGCAGCTGCGCCACCTCGCGCCACCTGGCGAGTGCCTGGCAGGAGGCCGAAGCGCTCCAAGGTTTCGGAGGCTCGGCATCGACTTGGGCGGTTTGTGACACATGCTATTGGATAGTTGCCGCACAGCACTGTGCAGCTCCAGCTCGAGAGTCTCCCGGTGCCGAAGAGGACCACACCAGAAAATCTGAATTGCAGCACCCCAGTATCAATGGGTTGGAGGAGCTGTGGCCCTGTCCCCCTGGTTTGGAGGGCCACGGACCCGGGAGAAGCGCAGGAGACTGCGCTGCGGTGCAGCGTGCTCCCAGCCGGTTCTATAGGGTCCCGGTTGGGCTGAGGCCGGAGCTTCAGCCGGTCCTCGAGCCCGGAAAAAGCTGATGAGCACGTCGAGGGGGGAGCAACAGATGCGGATGACGATGATGTAGGCCCAGCGCTGGGGCATCTTGGCGTCTACTTGTCGTACAGACCGCAAGCCGTCGGCTGTCAGGCAGTCCCCTTCGAAAACGTTCCAAGAGATGGCGACGCCGAAGCATCAATCGGGAGCGACAAATCTTGGAGGCCCTGTCATGGCATGGCATCCAGCCGTCCAGTGAAGCCCAGAAAGCCGCCAGGAGATTCGCCGTGCGAATGCTGAGATGTCAACACTGAAGGACAGAGTCTTGGGTCCTATGGCGGATTGGCATGGGATTTGCTTGGTTGTGCTGACCGACAGTACACAGCTCTGTCGAAGAGGGAAGGGTCCTGGGAGTCTTCTGGTGGACCCACGCAGCAACGCAGTGCTCAAAGCCCCATTCGTGAAGGTGTGCGTGAAAGAGAAATCTGGTTTGCATTTCAGCCGTCTTGAGCTCGTTTGCCGTCGATGTGCCGGGGTGACCTGTCAGGAGACGCTGAAGGTTGTCGTGACCCAGTCACCTGAGCTGGAGAAGATGAAAGCCTCCGCGAAAGAAGTTCTCGAAGAGGTCCGCCCCTTTGCGATTTCAGGAGAGACAGCGTGAGAGCGTTTGCCTCTCAGGTGGCGGCCCGGGAGCTGGGTTTCCGCCAGCTCACGGAGCGCCTCGAGGCGATGCGCCTGAGGCGTGCGAAGGACCCCCTTGAGCATGTCATCAAATGCCCTTCAGCATCATGGTGTGATGGGCCGCTTGCGGGAAGTCCAGGATCGCAGTGAGCCGTCACCGCCGCTCCCGCCTCAGACTGTCACAGGGGCAGCAATTGGTCGCAGGCTGTGTGGCGGCAGCCTTCCTTCCTTTCATATTCCATGTCTGGTTCTAAGGGTTGCTTCAAAATGGGAACATGCGATTGTGGCAGGGTGTGGACGAATGTACACTTCCATGAATCGTGCCACCGTGGTTGGCCTTCCGACTTTCCGAAGCCTTGATAGGCATCATTATTTTTTCTGTGGGACGCTTTTCTGCTCTGGCACGCGTGGTAGTTTCAAATATCGCAATCCTCCTATGGACTCCTAGAAGCAGGTTGTTGTCATTATCTTCTAGCATGCTTCCCCCTTCCCGGGCCGTGCCAGCGAAAACAGCCATACATAAATCTCTGTGAGAGACAACTGCTGTGTCTTGTGGCTGGAGCTAGATCAGGTTTTTTGTTTTGCACACACTCCGGACTCCGTCGCGCCCGCAAGGTTCAGCATTGTTGGTGATGCAGAAGGCAGGCTTTGGAGAGAAGCAAGATTGTGAGAGAATGCTTTGTTGTGTGGTGGCTGGCATGGGCTGGCCAACGCAGGCGATGCTACAAGTGAGGGAGATCTCTCGAAGGAGTTGAAACCCCCACGGGTGCAGTTGCTTCAGCAGGACTGAACTGGGAAGTTCCTTCTCCACCTCAGAATAGGCTCTGTGTGACCAGGAGCTCGATCTGCTGCAGGCGAAGTTCCTTTCATTGGTGGCCCGCTTGAAAGGAACCGCTGCACAGCTGGCCTCTCCGCAAGCAGACGACCTCGACCTGGGATCTCTTCTTCAAGAACTGGAAGCCTTGGATCCACAGGCTCTAACGCCTAAAGTGGGGAGAGCCGAGACGTGAAGATGCACTCATGTATGCCAGGCTGAGACAGAAACGACCTGCAGCCGTTTGCGACAAGGCCCGGCGTGGAAGTGTTCTGCGTCAGAGCATCCATGAAATCTGATGCAGAAGGCCTGCTGAGAGCTCATCGTCGCGGAGAGCTTCATGGACTTCGAAGGGACTTTGAAAGCAAGACGGACAAAGGTGTGAGCTCAGCAGAGGCCTTCTGTTTCCTTCGCGGCGATGGCTAGCGGCTATGTGCTGTTGTGAGCAAAACTTGCAGGTTGCAGGCGTGGACCCAGGGCGAGGCCAGGCTGGAACTTGTCCTTTTCCAATGTCATCCAATGTCATCCAGAGTCCTCGGAGGCTTGCACAATGATGCCTTTCCAAGCCCAAGTCATGACCGACCATGCAGCCCCTTGTCCTCACCCGATGCGAAGCAGTCGGATGCCTGGCAGCACACTCTTGGAACCGAAGCTCATGCTTGCCATCTAGCTACCTGTTTTCCAGTTCTCCAAGGAAAAGGGGCATCAGCCGAAGAGTCCCCGCCTCAGATGGCCGAGGCCTTTTTTGCGAACATGTTTAACGCAGGCGTTCGGCGGAGCACGCCGCTCTGGAGCTTGCTGCAAGCAAACAGGTCCCTCTCTCCTCGCCTTTTGCGTCTCTCCTTCTGTAGCGCCTGCCAGGACCGGGAAACTGCAGGCTCTGCTCGAGAAGCTGCGCAACGATCAGCAAGACATGGAGCGCTCTGCCTCCGACCTGCAGAACCTGAAGGACAGAAGTCAGAAGGAGTGTCACATCTGTCAAAGCGTTTAAGCCTTACAGTCTTCGCCGAAGGTGAAGTTCAAAGCTGCCATGCTTACAGCGCACCGAACAGGGGAGTTGCACAAGGTGGCCGGTGATCTGGCGCAGGAGGCCTGGGCAAGACGTGAGCCTGGTTGGGGCACTCATTGACCGTTTGGCAGGTGGAACGTCAGGCAGACGATTTCCAACGACTGAAAGAGCGAGCGCTTGAGAGCCTGCTTCGCATGAAGAGGGCCGGCAAGCTGGAAGACCTCGCAGAGGAGATTCGGTGTTCGTCCACATCCCACTGCAGCCAGGGTTCTTCACGAAGATTCCGCGGCTTGTGCGGCCAGGAGATGCGGCGCGGGAGTGGTGCGCAGGCGGGCACTGGCACAGCCGCTGCAGCGCGAAATGCCGATACCGCGGCTCGGAAGCAGAAGGTGCAGCGGCGTGGTGTGGCAGAGGCGTGACTCTCCCAGCTGAGGAGGGCCGCTCCTCGCTCTCTGCGAAGCAGCGGGCGCTCCAGAGCCTGCTGGAGATGAAGCGCTCGGGGGAGCTGCAGTTCCTGGCCGAGGAGATGGAGTCCGCACAGCGGAAGTTCGAAGCCAAAGCGGCCCAGTTTCGGGAGATCTCTGCACGGATGCGGCGTGGCGTGGTCAATGCCATGCGCTCCGGGGAGCTGGAGCGACTGGTTGGTGAGATGACGGAGGTCTTGGAGACACAGGCCATGGGCAAGGCCTTGGTCCTCTCCTGTCTCCCCATGTCTCGGAAGGCAGAGAGCATCCGAACTCGAGTTCGCAAAGGTGGGCCGGAACAGCCACCAAGTTGCGGCTGTCGGATTAGAGGTTCCTTTGATGGCAGGACTGCTGCGGGCGCATCGCCGAGGCGAGCTGGAGGATCTGCGCCAGGACCTTCTTCTTGACTCCGCTCTGTCTGTGTGTGTGTGTGTAAACGCC